CCCAACGGCTGTCCTCACGTAAACCAGTTTCTGGTGAACTTTACTTGTATATCCGAATGAACTGGGTCCCAGGCTAGTCCGGTTATCTAATCACATTCAAGCAAGATTTATCGAAACTTCCATTCGAATGACCAGACTACACCCTGGTCAACTGGCGGGACGATAAAAATGCGATTTTCAGGCAAGTACATTAATCAACTACTGAAAACCCCGACACAGTTATTGGATATGCACTGCTGATGAGCTCTAATAAGAGCAAAACGTGAGTCCAGTGCTTCACCCCCTTTGGTGTAGATTCACCAGAATAATTGCGCCAGGACAGGAGGAAGACGAGAGTGATGTGAATGTGAACGATACACATCCCGCAAACCCCACAACATCCATCAAATAGTGAAAACCTTATGCCATTTTCGATGCAAAGGAGTATCAACGATATGGGCATTCTTTCTTCCTGGGTAACTATCACCCTACTCATGTCGAATGACTAAATCCTTGATAAAGAAGGTTCCATCTACGTAAATTAAGAAGTATCTTATGTACGGAAAATGTGTAGTAAATCAACGGAATTTATGCCTGCCTATTGCAACCGCTGTCGGTCTTTTATTGTCTGTACTTCCACAAAATACTTGAGTTACTTGATCTTTAGGGGCTTTATTTTCTCTAGCCGCACCGTACTTCACTTCCACTGTCTTACGAGATAAAGAATAGTAGTTTGGCGTGGCTCTGTTGGTATATGTGATATCTTTTTGCCCACAGTTGACTACTATTGTCAGAATGGTTTCGCGAAATACATCAATATCGCTTTGCGTCACGTCATTTCGCTTTTCACGTGTTATCAAAAATTATAATGCTGACGCCAGTATCAACCGCAATTACCATCTAGATGTCCAGATCAGGTCTCTTCTTTCAACTTAAAATCCACTGTGTTAAGGCTTGAAATGCTGTATCGTTGTATTGCACACCACACTCCACGAGAGGGATCTAACCGTGAACCCTTCCTATCCTTATGACCTATTGAAAGGTAGCATGGTTAATCCCTCTGAACTCCGAATTGATTGTGGTATGGGATTCACTTGCTGATATGTCACTTTCGATGTGTTGCTGAAGCGGTTAAAAGTGTGACCTAAATATTTTCCAGACACGTGTCAAGTAACCAACAACAGAACTCTAGGTGGCGCGTGGGTTCAAGAGCTTCTCCAGAATATCCTGTCCTCATGGCGATCGTCATGTGCTTCTTTAATGTATTGGGTAAATCTCATCCTCTCCCTAAAAATTAAGGCACTGCGGACCCAGAACTAGTCGGCTGATTAGGCTGCACAATTATACCTACCCCAGATAATCTTCAAATTCCACCCATTCCTCCCACACACAAAAATTTATACGTTTAGGCCTCAATTGTGTTGACCTTTGGTCTTGCGAACGGCCCCTGATGACCCCGTGTAAGTTGATGCCGTGTGCATCGTTTTCAGTGACTCGCTAAACCTGCTGTACATGTCTGTCTACATGGGCAGCACATAGCCTTGGTCAGAATATTGCTTGTGCCGAAAAAACACATTCGGGTCGGAAGCAACTAAATGCGTCCAAGGTGCATAACTGTGCATGGCTTTTTTGTGCGTGCATGCGTCTTAAAAGCAATGTATTGAGAGCTACGGAAGAGTGTTTTACAACAACGATCCCTATATCTTTATAATCCAACTAATTGTTTTTTGGACAATATGGAATACGTACTTTTCGTTTTCGATCTGTTGAAGGAAGTGATCCTGACGATGAAAAGAGGCAGCAAAACTTTTAGACGTAAACCGGATTTAGTTTACAGCATGCTGTTTCAGTGATATTTCAGTGGTTTTTGCGTCTACCTCTCGGCCTAAGCTTCACTCGAATCCAAATTTTGTTCACCAGCCAAATAAGATAAGCATAAACGGGACACATGCATTACAATATGAGGCTGATTGGTCGAAATATGGATCAAAAGTCCGCGTTACCGAATTGGATGCCAGGGAAGCAGACAGTCACTTGATGTGAGAGAGGTAGTTGCCCATCTATATAATCCTTTATCACGATCTTTCGAAGAACACCACAGGTGACGTCGGGTTTGGTTTGAAGTGATATGAGTTTGGAAACAGGTATCCACTATCTACCAGTAGTCTCCATCGAGCGACAGTTTTTCCTTTCCTCAATCGGTTCCAAACTTTTTCCAATTGATTGAAGACAGTTTTTCCTGTTTCACTCACCTTTCTCAATATGTTGATTTCCCTAGTCGTGGGTTTTACATTACTTTTCACATTTTGGATATCTGTTTGGTTCAAAGCTAACGTTGAGCTTTTCTATACATCGATCGAACCTACGAAAGCTGAACATGGGCATGGGTGTCGCCTACGACTAACCGTTCGTTCAGTATGTGGTCGCTATTCCGCGCTCTCCCTGTTATTGCTTGGTCTGACAGGATGATCCTTCACCTCACGTATAATTTTGACGCACTTGGTTGGATGTGACTGGAGAATGAACCAACCTCGCGAATATAGCACAAAAGTGGTCAAACAAATTACTTGAAGCATCGGTAAGTGCGCGAATTGTTACATTCTCGGAAGAAACCTGAAGTACCTTACGCAGCCTGTAGAATGAAGACTTGCTTGAACCTTGTCAAGCCAACAAATATGCACTTTTAATCAATGGCCTTTAATGCCGGCCAAAATGAGCCCGTTATCTGCTGTAGTCAGTCTGGCATACTCGGGTTGCTGTGCGCCAAAACAGACGAAAAAAGACAGGTACATTTTGTCAGCGTCGTGCCCTCATGAATGCCAGCGACACTTACTTTGAAAACGACCGGTCATCAGCCACGTCAGGGTGGCCTGTGCTTCAGTTGTATGTACTTCAGTAGGGCCGGATCACGTAAAATTCTCCGTACAACTATCAGTCAGGTGCCCAGTATATCCGCCTACTCCACATCAAACCACACAGTCAGGGACACCTACACGCTGTGGAAAACGGAGCGAAACTCTACGATGGGAAATCTACAGTGTTGGGATGGGATGATCGTTTGTGGCGTATAAAAGGTGTATTTTGGTGTAACCGAAGGAAGGCTACTGAAAAGAAAACGTTTTCTGACGTGACGAAAAAATATACTAGCCCAGATTTTCAGAGACTTCGTGAAATGTTGATCAGACTTTAAACCAGGCTTGATTTTCCACTAGTGGAACTTCAAGGACATCATGTCGCGTTCTAAGAAGTGCAGAATTCCGTTTCGGTTAGTTAAAGGTAAGTGTGAAATCCATCACACCTCACAATGTGACTTCTTCAGAATTCGAAACGGATGAATAGCCTGTTTGCATAATTCATTTTCCAGCTTTATTTTGGTGTTAGCTTCAAGCTACAATACACCTTTGTAACTACAGTTTTCACTTCAATCACGGTTTATAAGTCTCTGCTATGGGCGGATCAAGACCCCTTTACTAACCCCCCTCGAGCTTCCGAATGTGTTCACCTCAGTACTTATGTATGGTGCAATTTTTTAATCAGGAGTACTGAGAAGCAAACGTTAGTTGAACGTTAGTTGAACAGCAGGGGGCGAGAAACTGTGATGTGAAGATATCAGTTCCCCTAACTGCTGGTCAGAAAAATAAAAACAAATGGTGACGAATTGTCCCAATCTTGGGGGCCAGTGTGATCTCATTGCGTGCATCCAAATGAAGTTCACCCAACTCGAAATTCAAATAACGTACCATAAAATCTTCTTCGATGTGAATTGATCTGTTTTGTATTGCTTTCATTTTCCGATAGCAAACGAAACCCTCTGACATGCCCCACATCACATACATCAACTTGTCCTACCAAGATCAGAACACTAATTTGTAAGCCCTCAAACTGCTATATGATTACTATTGATGCGCACAGAATGGATAAACAGCCGACGACAAAGCGATTAACGACCAAGTAATGAGTCGATAAATACCTGTACACGTGTTTGGTGAGCTCGTTGTGCTGCTTATCTGCATGAAAAGAACGCAGGTGTGTGTGTGTGTGTGTAAACACAGGACAGGACGTTGGTTTCCTACCAAACAATTGTTTTCTACAGCAGCCCACCCCCCTAAGGTATGACTTTCCGATACATCGATCGCGTGCTACGTGTACTTTCTGGACAACCAAAGGAGCCTCTTCATCCTTCGTATTCACATCTAACGGACTTCGGAGCACCTGTTGGATACCATTAATACTCCGACGTCGATTTTGCTACTCTTAGAGAATTGAGTTAGCAATTGAGTTGGCCATTTGAAACGTTACCCATGCCGTGCATTGATCTGCCTATACCGAGTTGTGGTCTGAGATTCCTGAGTTCCTCTCACTTTATGAAGAACCATTATGACTTCCCACCTCGAACGCGCGGGTGGCTGTTACTGACCAGTATTCTGAAGTGTAAATGTTAATCGCCATTCCCACTTCCTTTTACATGAAAGGCTCAAGTCCACATGAAAGCAGGTTTCAATGTCCCAAAACACCCAATGGGCAAACCTGTCTGTACTGTGAGTAATTCGGTTCCCACTTGACGTCGAAATACAGGAAAATTTGTCTAATGAGATTTGAATTCTGGTCTTAAAGTTGCTTCTCAAGAGAACGTGTAATGGCGTTTTTTGGAAATTATGACTGGTTCCTATCTAAATCGTGCGGGACCGCAGCAAAGTGGTCTTGGTTAAGGAGCATGGTCTATTTCCGGGGGTAAAGGTCAACTGCAGATTAACTTATTCATCATTCTAAAACGTTTATCTGTTCATCTATCGAGCCGGCAGTGGAAACAGCACTTTACTAATGGCTGCCTTTCTCAAATTTCTTCGTTCATCTATGATCTCACTGCGATGTCAGTTGGAACCTCATTTGATTATACTGCAACCTAAGCCATCCTGGGTCTGAAAATGCTACATCTGATTGAAGGCTACTGACGAAGGAGATCCTGGCAACTACCCCGATCCCAAAGAGCCAGTGAGGAAATAAAAGCAGAAGAAAGGTGTGTGCAGAACCTGTCATATTACAGGTGACGTTAGAATCTATTACAGGCTTCTCACTCGAGAGTCGTAATAGAGCGCAGGGTAAAGTTGAATCTGACAATTACGTGAAAACGTAACTGATGTGTTCAGATTCACACATTTCTAATACGCGCCTGCGTATTAAACAGCACGTTCATTTTACACTTCGCTCCGAAGAAGGTCTATCAGAAGTTTGCGCCTGAATGTTTGGATAACAGGAAAACAACACTGTCCAGCATTCTAACCTCATGTAGAAGTGGACAACAGCGTCGGAACTGGTCGAAATGGCATAGCATCCCGACGAAAATAAAGCGGGAAATTTGGAGATATAAACATTTGTATTTCATTCTCCGTTTAGAATTCCTCTTGTTCTAATTCGGATTCCGCCTCACCACTGTCCGTACCTACCTCTTCATAATCCTTCTCCAATGCCGCCAAGTTCTCTCGCGCCTCAGAAAATTCTCCCTCCTCCATCCCCTCACCAACATACCAGTGGACAAAAGCTCGCTTAGCGAACATCAAATCGAATTTATGGTCCAATCGGACCCATGCTTCAGCGATTGCTGTTGTATTGCTTAGCATACACACAGCTCGTTGTACCTTGGCCAGATCTCCTCCAGGTACAGCTGTAGGTGGCTGAAAATTGATGCCCACCTTGAAACCGGTCGGGCACCAATCCACAAACTGTATTGTGCGTTTGCTTTTGATAGTTGCAATGGCTGCGTTAACATCTTTTGGCACAACGTCACCACGAAAGAGCAAGCAGCATGCCATGTACTTCCCATGTCTAGGATCACATTTGACAAACTGGTTAGCGGGTTCAAAACATTGGTTTGTGATATCTTGTACGTCCAGATTCTGGTGATAGGCTTTCTCAGCGGAAATCGCGGGAGCATAGCAGCACATTGGGAAGTGTATGCGCGGATAAGGGACCAAGTTTGTTTGGAATTCCATTAAATCCACATTCAATGATCCATCGAACCGTAGGGATGCGGTGATTGAACTTAGAGCCTGTGATACTATTCTATTGACATTGGTGTAAGTTGGTCGTTCAATATCCAAATTCCGCCTAGTTGTACAAAAATATAGGTAATTCGATGCTTTTTGAAAAGTCACGAACTTACCGGCATACGTCATACACCGCCTCGTTATCCACCATAAATGCGCAGTCTGTCAGGTCTAGGGTGGTATGTGTGTTTAGAATCGCGTTGTACGGTTCGACAACACACGTGGAGATTTGTGGAGCAGGATAGACGGCTATCTCCAATTTCGTTCTCTTTCCATAGTCAATGCATAGACGTTCCATTAGCAGAGATGTGAAACCAGACCCAGTACCACCACCAAATGAGTGAAACACGAGGAATCCTTGCAATCCGTTGCACAAATCGGCGCATTTCCGTACTCTGTCAAGCACCAGATCCACGATCTCTTTGCCTATGGTGTAATGCCCTCGTGCATAATTGTTAGCCGCATCCTCCTTGCCACTAATAAGCTGCTCCGGGTGGAATAGCTGTCTGTAAGTTCCTGTACGTATCTCGTCAATGACAGTCGGCTCCAGATCAATAAAAACAGCTCTCGGAACAAATTTTCCTGCACCAGTTTCATTGAACATACACATAAAAGAATCATCCCCGCCTCCAACGGTGTAGTCTTGAGGCATTTGGCCATCTGGTTGAATACCGTGCTCTAGACACATTAATTCCCAACTCGCATTCCCGAGCTGTGTACCAGATTGCCCGACGTGCACGCTAATGCACTCCCGCTAAACGTATTATGGAAAAGAGGCGATTAAAATTTGACAAGTAATAGCACAAAACCTACCATTTTTACAGGCGATGAGGAATTCCTTCGCAAGTTTGAATAGAGATCGATAAGATCAATAGGTGTCCAACATCCCAGTCAAGGCTTTTTCAAGGTCATCTGGCCATTGCCAGAAAGGCTGTGAGCGATGAACTGGGAGTTCGGCACAAGAATTTGTGCACTCGTTGTAACCCTGATACACATGATATTCGTGTTAATTTGCTCAGCGGACCCAGTGAGCATTCTTGTGGTACTGAATTCAGCTCTTACCGTCACGAAGGTCCCTACTTTACATGATTTCGGACAACTACATCTTGGGACAAAATTGGTCAGCTTTAGCCATGTCTAGAATACTCCCTGTCCGGCCATGGATATCGGCTGCCAAATCTGCATCAGTCACGGTCCAGTGTTGGTCCTCTGATGGATATCATGGAGATCGAGTTGCTCTAGACCGTACTCAGCCAGGTTTTCAGTTGCCCTCCAAGGTGACAATGGCATCCTTGACATGGTATAGGGGTCAAAGTGTGTTTGGTTTTGATGAAACTTCCGTTGATCGAGGACGAGGAGGTAGGTCCGTCAATTTGCTTTTTATTGTTGTCGAATTGCGAAACCAGCTTTATCCTTGTAGGTGTATCGGTTGGCCACAATAAATTTAATGCCCAAATACGGCTCACTCATGGTTAGACATCTGAAAGCCACGAGAGAAATTATTCATTAGTGAGCCACTGCCTCCGTAAAATCACACAAGTTGCTGAAAACACTGGTAAGTTTTGCTAGCATAGCCAACCGTAGAAACAAATAACAACAAGAATGCTTCCTAAACGTATACACGTCTACAATTTAGTAACCTTGGGGTAGACCAACTCAAATAAACGTTGGAACCAATAAGGGAATCACTTCAGGTTTAGAAACGACCATTAAATTCAGTCACAAAACCTTTGTCAAGCTAAGTGGATGGTCACGTTCTGAGGTAAACAGAATGGTAATTCCCTAAAATCCCTACCTAATAACAGGTTTGCTTGTTTTCTTGCAAAAGGTGGAGCTTTGCTCATCGATAAGCTTACTGACTCTACACAAGCCTTCTCAACTAAAGAGTTCATTGTGCTACAGTAGGCTCGAACGAGATCACTTCCCCGTCCTACTAGGATGCCTTACGATTAATTCAATAAGCATTGTGATTGCAGTGAGCTTTCATTGTCAACATTGATGTTGTTGTCTCCAATGGCGTTCCCGCGGTTATGATGACAAGATGATGCTGATGCTGACGATGTGATGAAGACACATCACCGTTTTCGGTAATTGCCAAATTCAAGTGCCTGGTGAACATGTGAAATCCGTCTGCTTCTTACAGGAGGTCGTACACATGAAAACTGGTAAATTCGAGCGACTAACTTGGTTTCGACTCCTACTTACCTCTTGATGAGAATGTTGCAAGGTGTTGCAAGTACGTTGAACATTTGATCGGGTTCACACTCTACAGTTTAATTTCCATCATTACTATCTCGCAACTATTTTGTGTGCATGCCATCATCATCATCACTGTCAGCCGTAATAACCACGTACTCGTCGTACAGTGGTTGTAGATGCCACAGTTTCGTTCACCGATGATTTGGGGGGGGGTAGGTAGCTGCGCATTGCATGTGCATGTACCATATTGTATTGCATTGCGTCGCCTTGCCCTTGACTGAATTTTTTATACTATATCACGTATGCATAGTGAGTGAGTGAATGCCCAATGAGTGGTGAGGTCACCAGGCGACCTTTCGCATGCAGTGTGGTTCCCAAATGTTCAGGTTTATCCGTCTGGTAATTACTATCCACCATTCAAACACGTTGATGGCTTTAAATCCTCCCCCTCCTGTCCGCCATCCGGTCTTTCTCTCCGGTTTATACCGAAAACCGCACGTGCCATCACTCACTACATGCGAGGTTTCCTGGGTGTACCTCGATGCGACAGAAATGAATGTCCATCTAAGAAAGTCCACAGGGAAAGATGGTGATTTGATAATCCCTAATTCTACTATATGTATAGAGTACTATCACTCTATGTCAGTTTGAAGGCGGGTAAAGTTTGATTACGTTATTCCGAAATGCGAATCCTCCGTGAGTGATTCCCTGGTAATTGAGCAGGAAGTAGCTTACTTCACTGAGCCAAAAAAATACACTCAGTTCTATTGCAGGTCGAACCCTATAGGCCAAACAAAATGTTCCACTCTTGGGGGCCTGCGACATAACTATTTATATCTTCTCAGCGGAGTTATAAGTAGTACGAACAGGATTGAAATTTCACCATAAACTGCAAATAGAGTCACGCGGCTGAACTAATTCACGAGACATTGAACACCTAATTTTGTGATAAGGCAGTAAGCTTTTGCTGTGATTTACACTGAGGACTCCAAGTTGTCCAACGTCACTTATATGGTTGGAAGCGATTAGACTGTCGGATGTTAAGGGGTATGATGCACTGCAAAGTATTTTCCAGTGACTGTATGAAAAAACTGTTTATTTTTTCTTCCATTTGTTTCCTTTTTGTTGCTGGGCTCGATTTCACGTGCAGTTTCTCTAATGAGTGGGAATGTTGCACAATTATTACATTAACTTGTACATTTTGTCGTTACATAACCCAAAACATACAAAACAGGTAGATATTTTACATAATTATATGCACTCATAAGTTGTCACGATACCCTCGTGCCCATCAAACTTTGAACGGGCTTTCATTTTCAAAAGATTGAATTCGACGAATTCAGCCATTTATTGGTATAAAAAAGTCGGGGTAACGCAAACAAAGAGGTTGCATGACAAAAGCTACCAACGAAACAGGAGCTGAACCAATCACAGTCAGGCGGACTTGAACAAACAATGTAGGGTTCGAAACGGCGTTGAGGAAGACTGACTGTACCCTGATGAAAATGCAGTAATTGTGTTGAACAGAGTTAGTGTTCAGGAGCGAATCGAAGCTTACTGCCAATAGGTTTCCGGGGTCACAACATTAAATACAACCTTTTGTGTATATTCAGATCATATCAGTGGAAACACGAAAGACTCCATGGCATGTGGTATGCAATTAGTTTCTAGAATGCGCTTACGGTTCAGTACTTTGAGCCGATTCGGTTTCCCCTTTGCGAATAATGCCACAGGGAGAACTCAGAGTTCAATTCTCCGAAAGCGTTGTTCGGGTGCCACTCCCTCGCACCTTTTCGGTGTTGTGCCACAAACACGCTCATCATATTTAATCGGCCAGCGCAATACAGATTTGAATGAAATTCCGGTCAGCAAGTTCGGGAAAATGTCGGAGTAATAGCACCTTCCCTGAATCAGTTCAACTAGGTGTTTAGAATGGCTATTTCCTTTGAAAACCATGGAAGTAGACATATCAAAAACCGGTCTCTGATAAAATGTAAATAGGTTGTCATGATGAAGCACTTAAACCAAATTACCCGCAACCAACGTAAGATTATTCTAAAATTCTAGGGTTAAATCGACTTTCATGACTGCTTAAGAGAGCGTCGGTGTGATCTCACGAGTGAAAGGACTGCACAATTCGCTCTTTAGCAAATATGGCTGCAAACCAAGTGAATCCAACTTGAGCGCCACTCTTCCATCTAGAACTACCGGCATCAGGCTCAATTCAAACCGAAGCCAAACAATTAACAGCATACTCTTTAGGGAGCTAGACAAACATACTTCTCGGTGTCGGCGGACGTTTCAGTGTTATCAGCTTTTGTGTTCAGCAATTCATATCACCTCGTCGTTCACACTGGTATCGTTCATCCCAATCCATTTTCTGCACCAGTGTCGCTAACACACGCATGCCTGTTTCTTTCAGACAGTGAACAACAAGTAACCGAAATCACATACAGAACGAGTTCCCTCATGTGGTGTGGTAGACGAATATATATGAACAAATGCCGGTAAAACCGGTAGACGGATAAAGTAACATATTACTCATAAGGTTGCTGAAAACTTACCTCAAGATCCTGAGAGCAAGGAGAGATAAAAATGAATTATGCTAACCGGGAGCTGGATGGAAATCGGTCAGCGTTTTCAGTCCTGAGAGTGTATCGTTTCCGGGTAGTTATTAAAATGCGCAGCTGAACCAAAGTGTACTTTTATTTAGACTCGGTTACGAAGCAACAGAATTTCAATCCGCTAGCCGCTTTATCCACCTGCAGATGAATAGATCACAGCAACCGACTTGACCTACTTTGAGCGGAATAATTTTTCGATTGTTTGCGCTCGTAGTTGAGCATAATAATTACTTTCTGAAGGTCAGATAAACTGCACAATTTTTTCGGCAACGATAAATTCACAACAAATGGCATATTAATCCTGGTGAGTATTTGCACACTTGAGTTTTTTTTGTTAAAGTGCATCAGCAGAACATGGTTAAGGTAGTCACACCTGGTCGTTAATTTGACGTGGAACTAAAAGCGAATTTCAGAGAGGTTTTGGAAAGGCAGCCCCACCTATTCAGTAAACGGTTTCTGTATCTCACAGTTACTGCTTTCAAATGCATCAGCATAGTCTAACGGGTGAGAGAATAGTCAAGCGCAAACGTTTTTAGAAAGTTTGGTGAGCAAAAATACCAACGATCTTCTGCGCGGTTATGTCCAATTCAAATTACTGGATGGGTAGGCAGCATCATATGGCGGAAGAGGATTGAGCAGGACAAATTTTCATAAATGCTATCAGCAGGCATATCCCTGTTGTTTTATCGACCAAGACAACGTCCACCAGTTCCTCTTTCAAAACTGGATAGCAAAGTTTGTCAGATGACTTCTGTTTGATGTTGAGTATCGCGAATGGTAGCACACACCTGCTCACTCATGACAGCTGGACAAGCCTGCATACAACTAATTGACCGAATGCTGCATTTCTCTCGAAAAATCGGTGCAGCTTCCTTTCGTTTCGACTGCGGGGATAAGTCGAATTTTTAACCCGCTGAAACAGAAACCATGAGTGACTGAATTTCTGTCAACAGATAGGGGATACACGCATACGTGATTGTCCTTTTAAACATAAGTGCTACTCCCCACTAGTGTGATCCGTCAGTCGGGTGCAAGTGGACTGTGATCTGCAGGCAAAGAGAACCGAGTGCTCAGCTTCGAAAACACAGGCTTGCTTATATGGGAACCTGAATGCAGTTTTGTTTTATTGATGCGATTGGTTGGTCAGCAGTGATTCGGTCACCGGTATCTAACCAATGAGGTATGTTTCAAACTAAACGAGGGTGGATGCAAACACACAGAATGACGAGGTGTGCGCGTCACGGCAATGACGTGACCAGCGTATACAAGGTCAGCTTAGAAGCCATCAGAGGCCATTCGCATGACCAAACAGATTTACAGTTATCAGAACAGCAACTCGACCAGAGGTTCACCAAACCTCCATTAAACAGCAACTCGGGTTTTCGGGTGATCCGACCGATCAACCATAGATCAATTTTGTGTTCGCTGTGCCTTGACTTCTACCGAGAGTACAAGCTAATCTCTAGTGACGTCTGACGAAAGACATATTCTGGAACGCCTGTTCCATCCAGAAAACCCCAATGTCTATAAGGCTGGTTCATTGTCACAAATCCACTTAAAATGCCATAACTCTTAAAGAGCTGATTCAGCGGGTAGCATGTAGCATAACGAAAGTGCCACATCAAACAGCAAAGCTCACATCAAAACCGATTAGAAGTTCAAGGATATCAACCATGATACGTTTAACTGCTTTCAAAAGGCAGGATATTTATGGTAAGATTTCGGAGGGGAACTTGCTAGAAATCCTAGTCTCCCGCTTTATATATATATATATATATATATATATATATA